TTATTTCTGCCTCTCCACTTACTATATATTAAACTTTTAGTGACCCAGGCCAATGCCAACAGGCCATTTCAATGTACCAGTACCTAGGAAAGGTTATAGATGACTTAAACTACAAAGATAGATTTAGGAAAGCTACATTTTAAAGCTCATGGAGCAAGCCTGTTGTGGGACATCTTCCCACAAGAAAAAAAATTCACAAGATGTACAATGATTTACATTTATTCACTAAATAATTTGAAATGCACCCACTGTTTGAGAGCCATAGGTGTCTTAGGCTAAGGCTAGATCTGAGGAAGCAGGAGCCTGGAGCTATAAAGATGTGATCCTAGCTCTACCACTAACTAGTCATGTGACTTTGATCCTCTGGGCTTCAGTTTCTGAATTTGTGGAAAGAAGGTTTTGGACTAGATAATCATAGACTGTCCATACTCAGAGGAATCTTAGACATAATTTGGAATTATGGTTCCATTATAGTTAAGATTTCATGACTCTACATAGCAGCAAAATAACTGAGCAGTTGAGTCAGTTTGGTGGGGAAATCTATCAATAAAACAAGTTATCATTTTTATTTAGAATAAATGATTGGTTGGTCAACTAAAGCTTTTATTTAAGCATTATTGCCTTCTTAGACAAAACTAAATCCCCTAAAATTTCTCTGAGAGGAAAGTCAGAAAGCTTAGGGTTTTATTTGTTTGTTTTTGGAAAAAATACAAATAATCTCCTTGGAAGAACTTGTTCCAGAAATTTATTGCTAAATCAGTTGGTTAGAACTCAAGTCAGGTTTTTAGAATTAAGAGCAAGAATTGAGAAAAGATGCCCTCCATGGTGGGTAGCTTCCTAGGCCAGCATCACCCACTTTAATCCATAATATGGGTGAACTATAGAGCCTAATCATTACATATAACTTCTATCCATCCTATGGGAAAACATCATGCAATGCAATAAATCAAACATTTATTGGGCATCTACTATGTGCTGGGCACTGTGCTAAGTAAGCTGTGGCAAAGGAAAGAAAAAGAAAGAAAGAAAGAAAGAAAGAAAGAAAGAAAGAAAGAAAGAAAAAGAAAGAAAGAAAGAACAGGGAATGATAGAAAGAAGGAAGGAAGGAATGAAAGGGAGGGAGAGAGAAGGAAAGGAAAAGAAGGGAAAGAGGAAGAAAGAAAAAAAGAACAGAGGAAGGAAGGAAAAGAGAGAAAGAAGAAAAGAAAGAAAGAAACACTCCCTTGCATTCAAGAAGCTTACAATCTATGGAGGAAAACAACACATGAAAGAAAACTGGAAAGTAGGGATGGGGGCGGGGTTGATACCAGGGAGCACCCAGTGCAGCAGCATCAGGTTCTGTGGAGTTCAAACCAAACAGAGCTGTAGATGGAAAATGGAGAGTTAGCTGCAAAATACAGATCGCTATCCTCCACAAAGGGAGTTTTTTGAGAGGAGTTTAGTGCTCCACTCTCCAGCCCTCCAATCAGAAGGGGAGGGATGGCTAAGAGAGTTAGGAAGGGGCTAAGTATCCAGCGCTGAATTACAGGTACAATGATGAAATTTCCTGGGATCATTTTATCCTGGGAAGGGAATTGTATTCTGTGAAGTTCAGACAAGTGGAGCTGCAAATGGCAAGTGCCCCATAGGAGAGTTCCCTCTAAGACTTGAGAGCAATGGGGGAGATGGCTTAGAAATATTGATATAAACTGGAAAGCAGCTCAGAGATAGTGTGGTTCAATTTTCCCACTTTTTGAGGCCCAGAGAGGTTTAGTGACTTGCCCAAAGTTTCATAGATAGTAAGGATCAGAGTCAAGATTTAAACCCAGACACTTAGACTGTAAAGCCAGTGTTCTTTCAGTTGCATCGTACTTCTAGGGCATTGATGACTTCAGAGATTAGGGTGATGTAGATGTGTGTTAGGAATCCAACAGGTACCGTTTTGGTGTAAGGAGGGGAGAGTGAAGGGTCTCCGGTGGCAGTAGCCACTTGTTTATACAGATCTGTACTAGCTAGGATAGGAGAAGAGGGGAAGTATGATACTGTACCCTGAAATTCCATCATATTTGAGATAAGACCTGGTTAGGGGATTCTAATTCTAACCCTAACCCTAAATGTGCCTCCGACTCTGCCTCCAATTCTAACCCTAACCCTAACTCTATTCTCATTTCCCTAATATTCACATCTGGATACTATCTCTGTGAATTTCAAATCCAGTCCAGGAGTTCAGAGGCTAATATGAATTCAGAAAAACACCCTATTTGTAAGCTACTTAAGAAGTGTTTTCTTGATGCTTTTATTTTAAATACCACTTTCCCTTTCCATGACTCTCACCCTCTCTTTCAACCTCTATCAAACCCTCCTTCATAAGAAATTAATGCAGTCATCCAAAAGAATGAAGCTGGTGGCTATTTCTGAAAACATGACTCATTCTATACCTGTAAGTCCACCTCCTCTCTATTGAGAGATGAGAGGCATGTTTCAATGTGATAGATTACTTTGAAAATGGAAAAATAAGCCCTCTGATTAAAAGATTTCAAGCCCTCTTTACTCCAATCTATCCATTTCTACTTATCCATGTCCATGGGGATTTAAATATGTGGAGCAGTTTAGTATAGTAGAAGAGGCAAACTTACTTCAGGAGTCAAATGTTCTAACTTCAAATTGAGACCTTAGCTAAGTTGCTTCTCCTCTCTAGAGCTCAGTTTCTTCATCTGTAAAATGAGGACATCGGACTAAATTGGTTCTGGGTTCCCTCCTCTGATCCTATTTCCATGTAGAAGCATATTTTTAGGCAGATCAGCATCCAGCACATGTTCAGGGTCTTAATAAATGATAGTTATTTTTAAAATATCTCATATCACCCAATTAATGGGAGAATTAGGAAATGTGTGTCATTGAAATAAAGTGAAAGGAGCCATACATTGGATAACAGAGCAAACCTATTGAGCCAGACTATGTGACTGCTTGATATAAAGTACTTTGAGCATAAAATGATAATGGTGGACCTTTTCATCTTCCCTGAAGTTAGGCAAGAAGCTGTAAATTTGCCTTTTAATGAAAAATGATGTTGGAATATCATTTTCATTTTCTTTTGGCACAATTGTCAATTTCAGAATTATACTAAAATCAGGTTTAGTGCGAGTTTCAATTGCAATGTCAAAAACACTAAATTATGGAAAGGTTGAATTGAAAAGTTTAACTTCTCAGTGAATGAAAGGCATTGGTACAATGGTAGAGGGAAAGCCTTGAGGATGGCAAAATTTGGTTTCAGGTCCCACCTTTGACAATAAATGACATTAGGCAAATAAATTTAATCTCTCAATGCTTCATACAAGTCTATAAAGATTCTAAGTTACAGAAGAATTGCTGATCTGTACTTGCACAAAAGTTACATACATTGATAATATCATAGGTATGGACCAAAAGAAAAAAAATTTTAGGAGTTCAACTCAGTCTAGACCATTGTAACAGTGGTTTATCAAAGTGTGGTCTATGGACTCCTGAGTATCCCTTTCATGTGACCCACAAGGTCAAAATTATTTTCATAATAATCTTAAGATTTTATTTTTCTATTAAAACATTCTTCTCTTTTCCAACTACATATGAAGCCTAGTTTTCTTCATATACTCCAACCAAGACAACATATTGCAACAGATTGAATAAAGAAAAAAATATGAGAATCCACTCGTCTTTAAGCCAGACATTAAAGAGATTTGCAAAAATATGTAAAACAATGCTACTCTTCTCGCTATTTTTTTCTATTTTAGAAAACATTTTTTCATTAAAATATGGAATTTATTAAAATATATTAACATGCAATGGGTCTGTTATTTTAAATGAATTAATAAATTTTTAAGTTGTATCACTTTTAATTTCCAATATGGTAAATATTGATAGTTATAACCTACATAAACACAAGTTCTTTGGGATCCTCAAGAATTTTTAAGACTACAGGTTTGTACTAGAATCATATGTGACTAACTGGTGTAACATTTTAGGGGGAGGAAGTGTGATACAAAGGAAAGAGCACTGCGTTTAGAGTGAAATTAGCTGAATTTATTCCCAGCTCGGCCTTTTACTAATTCTATAATCTTAAGTTACTCACTGGGTCTTTCTGATCCTCAGTTTTCTCATCTGTAAAAATGAGGAATTTAGACAATGTGACCACCAAGATCTCTTCTAGCTTTAAATCTATGATCTTCAGCTATTGGTCTGCTCAGTGTGTGAATGAATAGTCAAGAATCTAAAAGTACCAATTCATGCTCTTCCCCATGCAGCCTTCATGAATCAAGTATACGTTCCAAGTCTCTTAGTCATGCGCAGTTCTGCTGGTTTGGAGGGTGGAAGGCAAAGAGGATCCAAACCACAAAGTCTCTTTGATATCTCAAAATTAAGGAGTATAACTATATAAAGCATAGTTAATTTAAAAGAATATGAAAATATAGCACATGTAATAGTACATCTTAAGCATGTAAAAATCATGGAAAGCTTTACACAGAAAATGTAATTGAATGGGCAACTGTGGCCATGTTGATTTTTCCACCTAGAATAAATAAATTTTTATCAGAAAATTCTTCCACTTAATGTTATTAGTAACAGTTATATGAAAAATGGGCTTATTTTATTATCAGTAACTCTTTAGCTTCAGATTTGGAAAAATTGACATAATTTTAAAAATTTAAATGAATGTTCATTGATCTATTTCGTTTTTATATAGCCAACATTTCTCCCAGTGTCTTTTCCTTCTCCTCCCAGAGAGCCATCTCATATAAAAAAAGGATATTTTTTAAGAAAAGAGAAAAAGAGGAAGAAGAGGAAAATTTAGCAAAACTAATCAACATGTCAAAAAAATCTAAAAATATATATGTACTGTTCCACACCCATCTTTTCACTTCTTCAAAGGAGTGGGGTGGGGATAACTTTTCATGTCAGGAAAATTGACTGTTAACAATTTCCCCAAGATTCTGTTAATCTACAGGGAGAGCAAAAAAGCAAACTTGTCACTTATGTGCCCCTAGATTCTCATGATGCAGTTTTGAGATTTAACTCTGCTCCTACACATGGTTATGAAAGAGATGTTGGAAATAAAACAACAATGCGCATCATTAATTCCCAGGTAAGACTAATGGTCTGTGCATACAGATGTATGTTGGATTATGTAGATAAAATCCATGTTTACTAATGTTTATGTATCTCAGTATTCCATAAGTAAAATGAATTGGGGGTTGGTAATGAGAAAATAGGAGCCAGAAAAATAAATGACAGGCATGAATTCTACAGTGTTAGAATGGGAAGGTATTTTGAATAATATCTTTCATTTTCTAGGAAAATGAAGCCTAGAGAAGCTAGGTACCTTGTCTAATGTGACATAGCTAGCTACTAGTAGTAAGAGTGGGAGTTATGCCTCCTGATTCACCATTCAGAGATTTTTCTGGCAGCCTCCATAAGCTAACGTAGAAGACAGATTGGTACTTAGAAGAACGGAACAGGAACATTCCAGAAAGAAAGGTAGTAATATATATGGGGGTGGGGGTGGGGAAAAGCACTGTATATTTTAATGAATAGGCATGAGAATGCTATTGCAGTTGGTGAATTACATTTGCATAGGCAACGAAGAAAAATAAGAGATAAAAGAAAGCATGAAGACAGAAGGTTGGGGAAGAAAATGCAGGATGGTAAAGAAGCTAAAATGAGTTTGATCATAGCACTAACACTGTAAAATTATGAGGTTATTGTGGGCATAACACCCAACTTCTCATTAATGTGAAGCAGCGTAGCATAGCATTCTGAATACCACAGTTCAAATCCTGCCTGTAATGCTTACTATGTGTGTGACCTTAAGCAAATCAAATACACTCCTTGACCTTTTGTAAAATAAGGGGGTTAGATTAGATAGTCTCAGAGGTCCACTTGAGCTCTAGAATCCTATCATTTCAACAGAAGTGGATAAATACAATATCTTGCATGTTCCTTTTATTTTCACAAGAAAAAAATCACTTTGCCTACTGTGTAAACTAAAACTTTTATACACACCAGTTTAGTGTAATGATTTCATTACATTACTAAACCTCTAAATTATTTGCTATTTTATGAGTATTTATTAAAAAACCATAAAGGTACCTGACATTTGGGGTAATTTTAAGCTTATATGTACATTTGTAATTTAATCCATACTGAGACTAGTCTATGTTCTGTTTGTAGTTCATCTCATGAAATCTGTAGGATAGTACCTTATGATCTATAAATTTTGAATGAGAATTAATTTTTTGAAGCTTTTAAAATGAAAACTGAGTATTCTGTGAAAAATAAATATAATCGATTTTGCATGTTTCAAAAAAAATATTCTTCATCGCACTGATTTATAACAAAGTTATTCTTGGAGCCACAGTAGGTATTCTATCTTTCAATTTGTATTAGAAAAACTGAGATACAGAGTGGTTGAGTGATTTATCTTGAGTCAGAGGCACAGGTAAAGATTAGCCTTCTGCATAGTCCACTGAGCCTACAGCAAGTGGAGTAGCAAATCAAATACATTTTACCAAAGGTACACACACACGCACACACACACACACACACACAAGGACTAGAACAAGTCAAGTACTTCTTTATTCTGGGGTGCTTTTCAGACAATGGAGGCTTTGTGACATCATTCTAGAACAGCCTCCATGCCCTAGCTAAGTGAGGTTCCAAGCAATTCTAGCCAAAGTGGTGAAGGAGAGGTAGCAATGGAATGAATGAAAAATTTTAAGTCAAAAGACTTTTCCAATTCTAGCTCTGCCACTAGTTACTGGTGTCAACTTCAGGCAAATCACTTAACCTCTCCATGCCTCTGTTTCCTAATCAGTAAAATGAGGAAATTGTACAACGTGGCTGTACTCTAAGGCCTCTTCTATCTTGGAATAACTGAATTTATGGGGAATCCTAAGTTTTCTGAGAAGTTGCAATGGAGTAGACTTCACATAGCACTAGCAAAAATGTCACTAAAGAAATGGCAGAAAAGATGGAGTATGGAAATTCAACTTCTTAGTCAAAATTGAGTTGGTCCATTAGAAAGGACCTGCAAGGAGGAAAAATCAGGATGGTTCATACTATTTTTATTTACCTGGATTAAACCTTATAAGGTATTCATCCATTTTCATTTGAGGAAATGAATATCCAATATGTTGCTTCTGTAGAGGTTGTTTTATTGTATTTTGTGTTTCTAGATTCTGACCAACCCAAACCATCACTTCATTGACAGTTCATTATATAAAGATGTCATTTTAGTGGCTTGGGATCCTGCTCCTTACTCAGCAAATCTTCACATGGTAAGACTAGCCTATTTTTTTCTCTTGGCCTACCCACCAGTCTGATTTGTTGAATCAAATTTCTTTTCATTCACTGAGACGAGTATAGCCTCTGGCTAATTAATAGTGGGAAACATTAACCTTTGTAGCTTGAGGAACAAAATTATACCGATCATGTAGCTACACTGATTCAATATACATAATAATTATTAGCCCATTAGTAAAATGTTCATCTTCTCTCTTTTCCTCTTCCCCTTAATTGTAAAATGCCAGGATGTTCTTCTGAAGAGTCCTAAATATCCTGGGACTTGGGTTAATTTAACTAAGATTTTCTCATTTTTAAGGGTTTACATTGTACTGACCTACATCTATCACACCCATTTAAATGACCTTTTAACAATGAAATAATCAGTAAGGGAATGCAAATTCTCCTATCACTCAAATTTCATTATTATCTCAATGTACCATTCATAATTGTCTGTAATATGCCTCATTTGGACCCTACCCCAGACATTTTTATGTTATTTGATAGAATGTTAAAGAAGTCTGGATTTGTGCTTAGAAAATATGGCATTCACTAACTCTGCAATTTACTGGTTGATTCTGGCAATTCATTTAAACTTCTGAGCCTCAGTTTTCTTAGCTTTTAAGAAGGCACAATGCTTATACTACCTGTGTCATTGAGCTGAGGATTAAATGATATGTATTAAGTAAACTTTAAACTGAAAAAAACATTGTATCTATGAGAGCTCTCATTAATATTTTCTATTATCACTTCAATCCCAGACTTACAGGATCAAAATAATCAATAAACAAGCATTTATTAACTGCTTAAGGCATTGTGCTAAGCACTAGGGATATTAAAAAGAATGTGAGACAGTCCATGTCCTGAAGGAAACTACATTCTAATGGATATAATGGTAAATAAGGTAATATCTATAAAGCCCAACTCTATGATACATACGCTACATAGTGGTTCTATGTGTCATGTAAATAATATTATTACAAATATAAATAATAACAGAAGTAGTGATATACTAGTTATGAAAAATACAAGTGAGCTCTATGTGGGATATCAAGGTAGATGATACAATAGCTGTATGAGGCCAGAGGACAAGGGGAGGGTGACAAACAGCTATTAGTCTCCCACAGGGATGTATCTTTTTTCTAGACTGCCTCAACTTTTTTGACTTTCATGAACAAAAGGTTTTCCTCCTACCATGACACTGTTCCATCGTCTGTTCTGTGGGGATTATAAATAGCACCTAATTCCAAGGGAGCCTGACACTCTAGAATAGTCAAATCTAATTGGTGTTACTATCCCAGAGAGGATGTGGGCAAATTGGAAGCTACATAGTCCATATACTCCTTTGTTCAAATTATGAAGCAAAGATTAAGAAAGGGTGAAAAAATGAGTTTGGTGATACTCCTTCCTCTGTTTCCATCTTCCTCCTGCCCTTTATCCAATATCTCATGGATGTTTCCTTTGTGGAGAACTGAGCAGGCTACATAAGGCTGTATTAGGGACCCTATTATTTTCCTCTTCAATGTGCCTTCTTAGATTGCCCCAGGAAAACATATTACATGTTCACTGCACTGTTGTTTATGAGACTGTGTTGCTGCTTTTTCTATACAAGGTACTGAACCTGCTGACATTGATGTCCATGATCTTTTTTTTTCCCCACAGTGGTATAAGAAGCCAGATTACAATCTCTTCACTCCTTATATTCAGCATCGTAGGAAGAACCCAAATCAACCCTTTTATATTCTTCATCCTAAATTTATTTGGCAACTCTGGGACATAATCCAAGAGAACACTAAAGAGAAGATACAACCAAATCCTCCATCTTCTGGATTCATAGGTAAGTTTTTTTTTTTGTTGTTGTTGTTGTTGTATTTTGTTTTGTTTTGTTTTGCTGTACTGCCAAAAGTTTCCATGATACACAAAAATAGTCACAATTTTTTTTAGCAGAGCACAAACAGAATATGAGGACGGATTAAAGAATTTTGGGGTTCCTGAATGAGAGAAGACATTGGGACATAATCAGTACTCTTAAATATTTGAAAGATTGCCAAGTGAAAGAAGATTTATTCTGCTTTTGCCTCTTGAGGACAGAATTTGGAGCATTTTGTGGAACATGCATTGAGGAAGATTTATATAGGATAATAGATATAGATCTGGACAGGACCTCAGAGACAATCCAATCTAATCCTTTTATTTAGGCTGGATGCAAAGGGGAAATTAACAATTAAAAGCTGTTCAGAACTAGAATGGAATGTCCTAGAAGAGAGTGAATTACTCCTCAGTGGAGGTCTTTAAGAAAAGACCTTGTCAGGTATGTTGTAGGGGTAATTCTTTTTCATGTTAGATGGACTAGATGGCCACTGGGGAACAATCTATTTCAATTCAATCAAATGCCATTCAATAAACATTTATTCAATACCTATTATGTGCAAGACACTGGCATACAAAGACAAAAAGGAACCCATGGTACACCTTAGGAAGTTTACATACTATAGAGGGGACTCAGCAGGTACACAGATAGTACATATTAGTTTGGGGGGGATGAGAAAATAACAAAGCTGAAAAGATCAGTAAAGGTTTGGGGTAGGGAGCTAAGGAGAAGGGAGATTTAGAGAAATGTTTTGGTATGCCTCAGGTTAAGAGTGTACAAAGCTGCTGGGTCGAGGTGTGGGGCTTTGGCATACAATATTAATGTAGTCTTTGATGTACAACTCAGGAAAGAGTTAAGATATGAGTCTGTTTAATATTGTTTTAAACATCACTATTCCCCTTAGAAAGGGAAATCCTTGATACTCTTTGTTTCTCAATTACTCATGTGAAATCCCAAGTTCATCTCTTGTTCATTTGGAGAGAAAAGATTCTATTAATTTAAGAGAGAACACAAAATATAGTTTGCCAGGAAAGAATATACAGAATGGGATAATGCAGAATGGGATAATAAGTAACATTACAGGATGTGACAGAAGTTTAATAAAACCTTCTTTAGAAGGTGGCCTTTTTATTAATTCATGTGGATAATGTTGAATTAGAACAAAACACTTTAAAATGCAAAGGCAGATTGTCAGATGTCCTTGTTGTATGCCCATAGACTCAATAGCTTTAGATGTAGAAAAGGCTTTCTCAGTATGTGAAGGTTGTAAGAAAATGCTTTCTAATTTCAAAATTGCCATTGCTGTCTTCAGTCCATTAACTTTGGCACCACCTAAAGCATACAGAACAAAGAAGACCAAAATGACATCACTATGTTAGAGTCAAGTTTCAGCGTGTCTGACTGTGACTGATTAGACAAATATGAGCTCAGAATGTTCTACCATAGGTCGGACACAAATAGTCCATGTGAGAATTGGGGTGGATTCCTTAATTTTGCACATCTTGTGTTTCCTTTGAGCTATTTCAATTCTGCTCTGCTCATAGAGCACAGCACCTGAATATTTCCTTATACAAAGAGGAACATAAATAGGCAGTTTTAAGTGAAACCACAAACCTTTACTAGATATAGCCTGTTTTATTGTTAAAATATATAATAAATATGGGGCAGCTAGGTGGCACAGTGGATAGAGTACAGGTCCTGGAATCAGGAAGACCTGAGTTCAAATCTGGCCTCAGACACTTGACACTTACTAGCTATGTGACTCTGGGCAAGTCACTTCACCCCATTGCCTAGCAAAACAAAAAATATATTTTATATATACATAAAACAAATTCAACATATTAAGTCTCAACTCTGTTCTGCTTCTCCATGTCTTCCTCTGAACCTCCCTACCTCCTCTTCTGTTCCTTCTTTAGATGATTCATTGACATTTTTTTCCTTCTTTTCTTTCATTTTGGTATTGCTGTCTCTAGTCCTCCAATTCCTACCCCCACTCTCTATTTCCTTATTTTTTAAAACCTCCCATGTTAAAAATGAACATAGTAAAGCAAAACAAATCCACACATTGGCCATATCCTACAATGTATATCTCATTCCGTACTTCTAGTCCATCATCTTTCCCAAGAGGTGAAAGTCTGCTTCACCATTGGTCCTCTGTAGATATATGTGGCCATTGCATTGATCAGAATTCTTAAATCTTTCAAAATTGTTTTTCTTTACAATGTTATAATTATTGTTTAAATTGTTCTCTTGATTCTGCACACTTCCCTCTGCATCAGTTCATACAAGTCTTTACAAGTTTTTCTGAAACCATTCCTTATATTATTTCTTATTGAGCAAAATAATATCCCATTACATTCATAGTCCATAATTTGTTCAGCTGTTTCTTTATTGATAGGTACCACCCAGTTTCTATTCTAATAAAATGCTATAAATATTTATATATGCCAGGTCCTTCCCTCTTTCTTTGATCTTTTTAGGGCACATGTCTAGGGTAATATTCCTGAGTGAAAGGGTATGATAGTCTAGTGACTTTTTGGGTATAATTCCAATTTGCTTCCCAGAAAGTTTTGGTCAAGTCCCAGTTTCATCAACAAGGCTGTTTTCTCTCAGCCTAGGTTTTTACTTTTCCTCAGCTTTGCCAAACTAATCAGATAAAGAAGGAACTCAGAGCTATTTTAATTTTCATTTTTCTCATTATTTGTGATTTAGAGCATGTATTCATATGATAATTGATAGTTTGTTCTTTTCTTTTGAAAACTGACTGTTTATATCTTTTGACCATAAACATATTGGAGAATGGTTAATCATCCTTTCCAAAGACATTTCCCTCCTTTCCTGGAGAGCTAGTCCTTGTAACAAAGAATAAAAAAGAGAGGGGAAAAAAGCAATTCAGCAAAACTCACCAACATATTAATAGAATTTGAAAGTGTATTCAATGTTCCATGTCCATAGTCATCCACTTCTACAAGGCAGGGAGGGAGGTGCATTTTCTCCTTTATTCTTTGAGGACATTCTCTTGAGCTTCATGAATGGAGACAATGAAACTCTAGAGTGATTTTTTTAATCTCTCTTTTGGTTAAATATAAATACATCGCATTATAACCAACCTGTGCTTAAAAAAATCATACCACCAAGAAGCTCTGCCTTTCTGTGACCTTATTCATTCTTTTCCTTTCCCTGTACTCTCTTAAAATAAGGGTCAGCTTTTTGAACTGAAAATTTCCCTTTAAACTGGCTCTTCCTAATATAGTCAAGTCCATTGCTTTCCAAATCAACGCTGGATCAGCTTTTTTTTCCTCAGAAATTATTTGTTAAAGTTATAGTTTATTCGTTCTGAATAACCTTTTCAGCTATTACTTTAGTCTCTATTACCCCTTTGCTCTTCCTCAAAAATATGCTTAAAAATAGATGGAACTCATTGTTCAATTTATCTGATGTCCTTCTCTGGGAAATAATCTATCTTTACCGACATCTCAATTTATTTGACATCAAAAATGAAAATAATTCGATATGTGCTTTCTTCTGTTACAAAAAGGAATCCTCCTAATGCCCCTTCCATGTTCTGAGGTCATGCTGAAAAAGATATTGACTTTTTGTCATTCAACCTCATCATTTTCGAGACACCTTTAGTGCCAAAGTCAGTTATTGAACAAAAGATTCAACCAAAAGGCCCTTTAGACAGATTTGTGTGCTTTAAAGCTTCAGCCTCTAAAGTTTTTGCTCTAGCTAATGGATGAGGAAGATTTTTATCCTTAGAAATGAGGGCCATAGTAATTTTCTTTGGGCTTTACTTCTCATAATTAATACAAGGTTCAGGCTTATAGTAAGTCCATGTGAGCAAACTTCTTCCTAATTGTATGTGCATGCTTGTATGAGATAACTTACGAAATGTGAGTCTATTTATCTTTTCTAATACGGTACAAGGAGAAGAAAACTTCAGCCTTCCACACATCTTTGGCTCAAATTAGGTTTTTGTTCATTCATCTGTGTCTCCATTATACAGGCAGTTTTTGACTTACAAAATATGTTCTTTCCTGAAAGTTGTTTCATTTATCAGTTATTTGGAATTTGGATAACAATTCCCCATCAAAGCACTGTTATAAGTTATGACTAAATTAATAAGTAAGACTATGAAACTTAATGTATGATAATAATTATAATAATAGTCTGAGTTCTTCTAGAATTTGGGGCCATGGAATCATGAGGTAGAGGAGGGAGGTGGCTTCTAGAAGAGAAAATGTCTTCCCAGCATCCTGAGGAAAGGACAGTTCTTCACAAAATGTCAAAAAGAGAAAATATATATTTAGCATTCTCAAGTCTCCCTTTGTATACCCTGTCTCTCAAATTCTAGTAGTCCTTCTCAACTGACCCCCCCCTCAATTGTCCCCAGATGCCCATCTTCATGTTGTCTTAAACGTCTGTAATTCGATCTTCTTTTCCTTCCACTTTGTCTCTTCCAAATGTTATCCATAGATGTTTCCTTTACATACAAATAGCATTACTTCACTCAAATATAAGCTTCTTGAAGGACAAGACTGATTCTTTTTTTGTCACTTTATTCATAGGTCCTTGCACATTGTAGACACCTAATAAATGTTTGCTGAATTGAATTGAAATTCAGTTAACTCAGCCAAATATCAGAAGGAAAGCAAAATAATCATTAAATTAAAGATGGTTTGAGTAATTGATAGTCTTCACTTAGTTACTACTACAGAAGTATGTATATTTTAAAAGAGTACAATTTCAAACTTTGTAGCATAGTGAAATGGAAAAAAAAAAGAAATTATGTTCTACTTCTCACCCACCCCACCAAATACACAGACAAGGTTTCCACTTATTTTTCACATAGTAAGCACTTAATAAATGCTTATTGATTCCTTTTCATGGAATATTGGATTCAAAAGGGTTCTTAAAGTTACCTCACCTAACCTCCCATCCAATATAGACATCACTTCAATAAACAA